GGCCTCCCAAAGTGCTGGGATTACAGGCCTGAGCCACCGCGCCCGGCCGAAAAAGTTACTTTCTTAGCTTTATTTTCTTGAATTAAAATAAGATACGAGAATCTGACCGTATGTATCGTAGGTGACTTACACAGTGTCCTTGGGAGGGAGAATTTAGAGTGAGAGTCTGTTCCCCACTGAGGTTTGATTTAAGACGGCAGGAGAAAATGACAGCATCAGCCACTCTCTGAGTGACAGTGAGCTTTTTCCTTAGCAGCTTGATTCTCTCTTTGGAACAAAATTACTTAATTGCCAAGCAACATGGAGTTAGAGGAAACATCCTCCAAAAAACAACTTACGTTTTTAGCATGATTCGGTTGGTCCTGTTCTTATTTTGGGTTCCTTTGACTGTTTCCCATCTGCTTTTCTAATGTCACCAAGTGAACAAGACACCTGTGCACACAGGACACAGCATGGTCTGATGCTCATAGCAATGTGTTTTCTGTTATTACAGGTTACCTGCGCAGACCAGGAGAATGGTATGTACTGGGGAATGTCTCCCGTGTGGACGAATATTTCAGATGATAGGAATGTGGCACTGCCTCACTGGCTTTTTCATAGACAGACAGCCTGAGTGTGAATGGGAGAAATGGGTTTTTCAGATAAGGGGCGATGGCCACACTCTTCAGTCCCTGGGAGCAGCTCTGTTTTCTGTCGGTGGGATGGGGTTGGTTGTGTACACGTGTCTGGCGTGTGTCTGTGTGAATACATACGGTGTGATGCTCAGTGTGCCTGGGTGTGTGCCGGGGGATGCCTGATGATATGCATAGGTAATTATCACTGAAAGCGTCATCTTACAAAGAGTGCAGTTTACTGCATGCAAAGGACACGTTAGTTAACCTAAAGGAAATCCTGTCAACACCCATGCAAATATGCACTGGGTACTAATAGAACAAAAATGTTTTCAGTATCTCTGCTAATTCTTTTTTTTTTTTTCATTGGGAATTTCCTTCTAAACCTCAGTTTCTAATAAATCTCACCTGGTAACAGGCCTTCCTATTTCCTCCTGGCATTGGAGTGGTCATGACATCTCACTGTTGCCACTTCCCTCCTTCAAAAGCCTTTTCTACTAAAGCCTTCAGAATTGATCCTCCACGATCCATCTTTAGCAGGGAGTGGATCAGGGCTCCTTCCTGTGCAGGGAGACCCTGGGGCAGCCCCATGCCACAGCCAGTTTTGGTAGGAGACTGAGAAAAGAGGAGCCTGCAGGCAGGGTTGGGGTGAAATCACCCGACTCTCCATTGTGGCCTCACATTGACCATCAGATAATGTGGCCCAGAACAGCTAATGCCGGGGTCATGTGGAGGCTCAGCCTGCAGCACTCAGCCTAGTCATGGTTTCTGTGTGTTCGGCTCAGGAAACACAGCAACAGGACAAGAGAACCAAGGGGTTTGCCCGAGGGTCTGAGAGGCAGGGTGAGCCCTTGCCTTCCTCCTAGCAGGATGGAGGGTGGCTCGTGACTTGCAGGTGGGGAAAGACAAACAGCTGTGGGACGGCAGAGGCTCCGTGATGCTCCCGTTGCCCCCAGTGTTGACAAAGGTTCTTCTTTGCCTCTGAAGGCCTGTGCAAAAAACAAGTCAAGGTGGTTGGTTTCAGTCCATATGAATCTAAAATGAGCCAACTCTGGTTTGAGTTTCTTTGGAGTGTGCATTTGGTAGAAACTTCTTATAGGTCATTTGGATTGCTGCGTAGGTGACAGTGTTTTTCCTACTTTTCAATAGAATGAGGCTGTGTGATTTTAAAGTGTCCCTTGTTTGCCCCAGAAAGGGGCAACAGGGCAACAGGGCAAGGGAAACACAGCAACAGGGGCAAGGGAACCAAGGGGTTTGCCCGTGGGTCTGAGAGGCAGGGTGAGCCCTTGCCTTCCTCCTAACAGGATGTAGGGTGGCTCACGCATTGCAAGGCGGGGAAAGACGCACTCAGCTGTAGGACAGCAGAGGTTTCATGATGTCCTCGTTGAACCCACGCTTGATAAAGGTTCTTGTTTGCTTCCGAAGGGTTGTGCAAAAGCAAGTCAAGGTGGTTTGCTCTGTGGGTGATGGCATTTTCCCCACTTCTCAACACAGTGAGGCTGCACGATTTTAAAATGTCCCTTACGTGTCCCAGAACCTATGTCCTCATAACGGAATTCCCCTAGTCATCTTAATTTCCAGATCAGTTTGTCTGGGGCACTGAGGGGACCTACTGTGGTGTTTGATTAAAGGTACAAATCAATGTTACCAATACTGAGGTTCTAAGAATGTATGGCCGGCTGCCCAGTGGGCTCCATGAGAGAGAGAGCAGGGCACAGCCTCGCCTGGGCCTGAAAAGGAACATGATTTTGCGCGGAGAAGGAAGGCATGAGGGGAAGCCAAGTTTGGAAGTTTAGGAGAGTCAGTGAATGTTATGCCCTGGGTCCAGCCGGGATGTTCAGACCCCATCCGAGGGGAAGGAGCAGAGCCTGGACTTTGTGGCCGGTCTGAGCACTGCCTGGCAGTCTACCTAGGCACCCAGCGAGAGGAACTATTTTTTCCCCATGTCTTCTTTATCTCTCTGTCTGTTGGTGGTAATGACACCGTGTGACCTTTTGTATAACCCCTAAGACATCATTTTGAGAGTTTCTCTGAGATTGTCTTGAAATCCTCATTCCTAAAGTCTGTATTTTCTCCCTCCTGGCTGGAGAAATCCTGACCATGACTGGTCACTGGGAGCGCAGGGACTGTGTCCGTCTCATTCCTTCTCATCTCAGAGCTCAGCCCTGAGCACCTTTTCTGGGCTGCAGTGATGTTCTAATGCAAACAGCCCTGTGCCGAGATCCAGCTCACGTGTGAAAAGCTCTCCCACTCACGCCGTGCAGTCTGTTGAGTCCCACATGAACCCAGGGGTCTGAATGGGGTCCCATCCAGGGTAGGTGTCCCCGCTTGCCTCCTGCGCTCCTGTCTGGACAGTGTTTGCAGAGGATGCTCATTCTCTGTCACAAGCGTGCCCCTGCTGAGGAGCCCTCTGGACCAGGCTGCTGTCCTCCATGTGTTAGCACCCCCGGGCCTCACAAGGCCTGCTTCTTGTGCATGTGTCCGGGAAGCACCCATCCTTGGATGCCCAGATCAGAGCAGCAAGGTACTCTGCCAGGAAGCTCCAGGGGAGGGGAGCCGTGCCTTTCTCATCTTAGCTCTTTAAACCTGTGCATTTTAGTGTGGGCCTCAGTAGCATCTAAGCTTATTTATATTTAAATAAATTTCAAGAAATAAAATTAAAAATTCAGAACCTCCTCTCAAGAGCCATGCTTCGAGTACCCGGTATCCCAAAGCTTAAACTGCGGAGAGCACTGCCATCCTCCCAGAATGCTCTGGGCCAGCTGCCCTGAGGCTGATCCAGGTTCTGTTGACTGCACTCTGCTAAATCAACACGTGTGCATCTATGCTGGAAACTCAGGGTTCTCAGAGTGGAGCTGAGAGCCATAATGGGCCAGTGGAGTTGAAGGGGTGAAAGGGGATTCTTCAGGTTTTCCGTCTCACCTGAAGGCTCACAGCTGAGTCCACAGAGCCCAAGGAGACTCTGAGATCACAGAGGGTGGAGCAGGGCACCTGGTGTCATCCACTGTGGCTGTGCGTGGGGTAGAAGTGCTGGGTGAGTCACTCTGACGTCACCCTTCTCTGATGTTTATGTCTCTATAGGAAGCTATGAGGACAGCAACTTTTCTGAAACCCATCATGACAAAGACTCTGCAAGTGGTGGAGATGCTTCAGGTGGGGCCCGTGGCACAGGGTTCTTGGGGGCAGCTGGGTTACACCTGGGCTTTGGAGCCTCGGCTGGGAGCTGTGAAGTCAGCAAATATAAAAGGAAACGGGTGGAGAGGTGCGGTTTGTTCTTTCTGCATCTGAATGGGAAAGTGGTGGGAGTTTTGTGTTTATGGGCATCATGTGTGCTCTGCTCGTCCCCATGATTCCTTCTCTGGTGTACAAGATGACCTTTTCCAGAAGGCCAGATCTCTCCTGCCAGTGCCACAGCAAACACCAAAGCCCTGGGTTTTGGGGGTGGGTGGGGGCGGCAGTGTCCTTTGTGAATGGAGAAGAGATGAGTATGCGGGTGTGGCATTGAGTGCTGTGTGGGGAGTGGGGTGGGACGCAGCCCCTCACAGATGCTATGTGGCCCTGGACACAAAGTCCTTTATGCATGTGCCAGGAGGTGGCAGGAGTCCATCCTCATCCTCTGCACTCTCCGGACCTGCAGCCGCACCTTCCTGACCAGCCCTCACCGTCTGCTCCTGGTCGCAGCGCCCTCCGAGTCTCCTGAGGCAGTCTCCTAATCCTCTGGGATTAGTCAGTGTGCCCCGATCCTAAAGACCCGAGGGGAGAAACCCATGCCTGAGCAGGATTCTGGCCTCCACTTCTCACCCAGTCCCAAATTGTTGGGCTAGGAATGGAAACTGAATTGGCTTTAATTTGAGAATTCAGTGTCCAGCTGTCACCGAGGCCCTACGTGGCTGGCAGGAATCCTAAGGGTATGTGTGTGGGGCGGCTGCTGTGTTGCTGTAGGCAGTGGCTCTTACCCTCCTTAGGACCTGGTTGCTGGATCTGCCAGGCCCAGGATGGAGCCGCTGGGCACCTGGCACAGGGATCACTTGTCTTGTCACACCCTCCGCTGTGGCCCGACAGCCTTGTCCCACTCCCCATGCTGCCGTCAGGCCCAGCTTGCTCCCTGTGTCAGGCTGGCCAGGTGCCCTCCCACCCAGTCCTCCCACAGCTCAGCCAAACCCTGGCAGGACCCCTTCATTCATGTGCTGACAACGTGACCTCACCTGTGCGTTCAGGCCATGGGACAAGGGGCTTTCCCTAGAGTCCCATTACAGTGTTTCTTCGCTTTCAGAAGCTTGTGGGATTCATGTGAGGGTGGAGTATTTTCCAGGTCCCTAAGGCCATCCCAGGCATACATCCCAGTCACTCAATCCGTGACACCCATTGTCTTTGCCTCCCACAGGCCCCAACTCAGACCCAGGTCTGTGGCAGGTGCTGCCGACCTCGGGTGTGATCCACGGGTTTATGGAGGGCCTGGGAGTGCAGCGCTGCCCTTCCTTCCTGTGTTTTTATGTTGGAGAGCAGCGGGATTGGTGGTTGACAGGGAGAAGGGACGAGATTCATCAGAAGAGCAGAAACAGGCCCTAGAGGAGGAGGAGGGAGGGAATCGCATGGCGTGCACAATGTCCTGCAGAAGGTGGCCGCCTTTTGGAGGAACAGGGATGACACGGCCTTCCCTGCCTGGGCACAGTTACGGAGTGTGAGGGCTGGGAAAGCATGTGGAAAGTCAGAAGCTCCTCCCTCACTGCAGAGAGGAAGTGATCTAGGCTACGGAGAAGGCTTGAGATAAGCACACCTGAGCCTGTGGGGTTGGCTCCCCAGCCTGAGGACACCAGAGCCCGAGAGCCCCCTCCACTCTAACTCTCCCCTTTTCTTCCCATGGCCGCCCTGTCACCGCTGCTCCTCCGGACACCCTGAAGCTTCTGGAGCAGATACGGAAGAGCCCAAGTGTGCAGACGGCCATCAGCATGTAATTGATCTCCTTCCTCCTCTCTCTCAGCCTCTGACTCATGAGCTCCTCCTCTAGCTCTGGCTCTCTCCCTCTTCTGCTCTCTTGTCATCATCCTCCTGAAGGACCTGGTCTCGTCGTGACAGTCGATGTCCTGGTCTTCAGTGTCTATAAAGTCCCTCTGCAGCCCTCCTGCCCACTGCCTTGGCATTGCCTCCATTCCTGGTCCCCAGGCTGTAGCGTTGAATCCTGTTGAGCAACCCCACAGGGTTTAGGCGGGAAGCCCGGCTGAGGTCAGAAGAGTTGGCCCCACCCTGCAGGAAGGGTTCCCAGTGACATCTGGGTCTGCTCTGGCCGCCCCCCTCCCCCGCCCGGGGGCTTTTGCTGCACTGGGGTCTCTGGACATGCGCAGTTGTTTTCTTCCTCCCAGATACCAACAAGTCCTCTCCCGGAACCTGAAGAAAAAGCAATAGAGACAAACCCTGAACAGGCAGAAGAAATGTGAGTGTGCAGGGGCGGCATGACCAGGGGAAGGCAGACAATGCCTGTGTGCCCATGGCTGCCCTCACTCTCTTGTGCCCTCAGAAAACCTAGTGAGCTCGAGGAGGATGAGGATGCTGAAGAGCCTGACCTGACCTGCTGTGACCTTTGTATTTGATGGTGGAAATCCCTAAAGGCAAGTGAAGGATGCCCTGAGAACATCCTCTAGGGAACAGACACCCTCTCCATAGCAGCCCCTGAGCCCACTGGGCTGAGCTCTCTATAGGCTGCTTTAATGAGGGAGGGGCTGAGGTGCTGGTCAGGCTACCACATGCAGGATTCTGAGGGCCATGCACTACGTTCTTGCCTGCAGTGCCACTTAAGCTCATTTGAGGGGACCCAGCCCTGCCCTCCTTGTCCCCAGAAGACAACGGGGAGGGAGCATCACTGGTTCAGCATGAGCAGCCACTGGGGTTGATCATGAATCCCCCTGTTTCATGCCTCCTGGGAAAGGTGTGAGAGGGAGGGAGGCAGCTCCAGGTTTCTTGCCACACAAGCAGCCCACCCAGCCCAGCATTGCATACCTGCGGGCACTCAGTAGGGCCTGGCATCAAGAAGGGGAAGGGCCAGGATCCAAGACTCGCTGGGATGTGCCCAGTCCCAGGGACCCCTCAGTCTCCGTGGAGCCCTTGGTGCCTGGGGTGGCCTCATGGCCCTATTTCTCAAGATGAGGTTGGAGGTTTCTGTGTGTGGAGAACACTGGTTTGGGCATCAGTGGTTCTGTGTCTGTGTCAGATGCCAACAAAAAAACCCTTGATATACATATTGTAACAGGACTAGCCGCTGACAAAACACCCCAGACACGGGATTAAAGAAGGAAGAAGTTTATTTGGCCGGGAGCATCAGCCGACTTGCGTCTTAAAAGCAGAGATCCCTGAAAAAGAAATTCTTGGCCCTTTTAAGGGCTTAAAATTTTAAGAGGTCCATGTGAAAGGGTCGTAATAGATGGAGCAAGCATGGGGAACGTGACTGGGGGCTACATGCATCAGCTAACAGAACAAAACGTTTTACAGTGTTTCTTCATACAATGTCTGGAATTTACAGATGACACAAGTAGTTTTGGTCAGGGGTTAATACTATTATTATTATTTTAACCACCAGGGCCTGGTGGTGGCGTCAAGGTCGTCTAACTATTTATCTTACTTCTGTTTCTTTCCAATGTTTTGCTTTCTCCTTTTTCTCCTGTCTTATAAACGAGGGAAAAGGGGAGGTGGGGGAGAAATTGGGAAGGACAGGCGGAGAAGTGGTGGTCTCATTCCAATATGAATGTGTGTTTTTTTGTGTATTTTATATATATGTGTGTATATGTATGTATATGTATACACACACCCTGTTCTTCACTCTTTAAAACAGTGGTTTCTGTAATGCTTTTATGCTGGAATGTATTAAGTGAAATGTATGTTTTACCAAAGCATTAATGATTTTTAAAATGAAAATGCATAGACAGGGTTGGTGGGGATATTGGAAGGATCACGTCTTATTGGGCGATAACAATGACATGCTTCGGGAAGCGGCACACATTCAACGTGCAGCTCTTCTGTCTGGATGGCATGGAGGGTCTGGGTGAAGGGGCAGGTCACCACCCCATCCTGTGTCATCAGACCTCCTGCTCCTCCCAGGGCCTGGGGGCATGAGACTCTGCCTGTTGATCCTTGAACCTCCCCCCTCCCTCTTTGTGTTTCAGTATCTGGAGGTCCAGCCCCCTGAAGGCGCCCATGTGCATGCCTGGGCTCAGTGCCTCCTCGTAGACATTAATAACACCCCTCCGCTGGGGCACAGACAACCCCCTCAGCAGAGAGCAGCACACAAGGCCTCCGGTGACCCTGTGGATAGACACTCTGGGGAGGCCAGGGGCCCAAGGCCACCTTCCAGGGGCCGGAGAGCCCTCTGAGACCTGCACACCCCACCCCAAGGAGCCCCCCTGCCTCCCGCCTCTGCGCTGCCCAAGTGACCCCTCGAACCTCTGTCTTGTGTGCAGATTTCAACCTCCGGAAGGGCCGAAAACTCCAGTAATTTCCCTGGGCCCATCAGCCCATCATGGATCAATGCGAGTACTGGGGATAAACCTTCCTCTGCAGTTTAATAATACTTAATTAAAAAAAAATTCTTACATTAACCTGTTATTGTTAAGAACAAAAGCTGTCATTGCATCATCATAGTCTCAGTTTTGCTTCAAGTAATTTTCAATTGTTTATTAATTTTTTTGGATCTTTGTCCACTCGTTTTGGAGTTTTTGTCATTTTGACAGATGTTCTTTTATGCTTTGCATTGTTTTCTTAATGACGTTTCTTAATGACTTTTACGTTAGTTTTTAAGAAATCCATAGTACAGTAAGTTACATTCAGACATAGTATTTTTTATGTTTTTTAATAGTTTATATTCTGTGCATATTTTCACATATAGAACTAGTAATGGCTGGGCACGGTGGCTCCGGCACTGGCTTGTAATCCCAGCACTTAGATTGTTGTGCTTGATGCTGGAAAACATTTTGAAGACAAGACTCCAAACAGTGACGTAGGCCACACTAGCTGATTAGAAAATGAGAAACTTGC